GTCGTGCATTTTTCAGGCTGCTCCATACTTCGTAGTCGAATAAACGAAACATTGAAAAATAGTAATTATAATACGTAGGTCAGCTCTTTAGGATTCTGCTTTACTTTCGAACAACTAGTGCTAATGGCTTAACGAATGAGCGTAACTGGGCGTGTTGCAGTCTTTTCGTGTATCAGCAGACGTCCATGGCGTTTGCAGGAACTGGTTAACCTAGTGAATTGGTTAACCTAGTGAATCGGACATGTATATAGATACTGAATATTAAAAATATTGACGTCACACAAATCACCGCTTTTTTGCGCTATAGTATACCAGTGTTACGAATAGACAAATAAGCTAAGAGACACGGTGATAGTATGGCGCATTTCATATGTTTTAAGTCAAAGAGCTATTTTTAAATATGCCACTCGATGACAGCGGCTATTTGCATCAATGCGTTGAATGAGAACAACGAAGGTTTATCTGCCCCATCAGGAAATAAGAAAGCTTTGCTCGAAGCGAATGGAGTGAACGATCAACGCACAAAATTCTGTCTTTACTGGAGGGTTTCAAGGCATATGAGATGCGATATAACATGCAGACGCTAGTTTACTCGTGTTATAAAAGGCTAATTGTTGTTGCATTTGTAAGCGATTTCGTATATTCTAAACGAGCTTTGTAGGACGAAAGCACAAAATACCTACGGGTTAACAATATGTAGCATATAAGCGACTCAAGGAAGAACTATTCTAAACGTATTCACAATAGTTGAGCTACGCACTTCGTGTCTAATAACAATCTATCTCCCTATTTGAACAGGTCAAGAAATATCTAGAAAACAAATTCGACTGACAATTCCAACGGCTCTTTGGCCTTCGGTGTATACCCCGCTACTGCCAAACATTTCGCAGATTCAAGAGGTTGCTGTTGAACCCGTGCGAACTCCAACTCCGCCACCTGCAACATCGCCGTCAGCTCCGACTTCAGCTCCGGCACAGACGAGGATTATACAGCCGCCCGTACGAACACAATACATTATTCAAGGAAACACTGTCACTCACCAAATGCCTCAACAGCACCACTTACAACAGAAAGCCCAACAGCAGCAGCACCAACAGCAACAACAACAACAACAGCAACAGCAACAGCAACAACAACAACAGCCGCAGCAACAACAACAACAACAACAGCAGCAGCAGCAGCAGCAGCTACAGCAGATTCAAATTCATCATCAACCACAACATATCCAACACCAACAACTCCAGCAGCAGCCACAACAACTGCAGCAGCAGCAGCAACATCATCATCATCATGTACATGTACAGCAGCCTCAGATAGTTCACGTACCGCAGAGGACTTCGCACGTTGAAACAATATCGACTCCGACAAGCACGTCGATACGACCCATTCGAGTGCAACAGCTTGTAACTAGTACTCCCACGCCATTAACGACGACAACTACGACGCCAATCACAAGCTCTCACATACAAGTGAGTCCGCAGGTGACGACGGCGCAGGTGTCGACCGTCAACAAGCCGGCAGCCAGGAACCGCGTCATGTTTGAAGGTGGGTTACTCGAAAATTATACGTCTGATACTGTTTTTAGCTAACTGGCAAGACTAATTTACACCCGTTTTCGTCACCCGTACAATCATAGCTCAACAATATTTTTGAATTTGACAACACTGAGTCCGCACATTTCTATTCAGTTGCTGGTTGAAGCCTGATGAAAAAACCTTAATTAGCACAGGGAGGCATGTACCTCACCAGAAAAATTCACATGAAACTTCGATTGACTCATTATACGGTTTTGGTGTTATTTTTTACATAAGATGAAAATGGTATTCTTTATGAATACGAGGAAGGCGTGCTGGAAGAAGGAGCAGATCTGCGCACGATATCCGAACCTGCAGGAGATATAACAATTCCTCATCCTGGAACGATGCACATTGTTGTCGATCCAGAAACAGGCCAGGAGTACGCTGTCGAATACCAAACAGATTCTGAAGCATTGGCTACGTCAGGCCATTACGAGGAAACACCCGGGACCAGTGGCAAACAATATGATATTCAGGTTGGTAGGGTATGTGAAATGGGCTCGGTACCGCGATCCGGTCTCGAGTGATTGTTGTCTTGGGTGAACATTTTATTAAAAGCAAATCCAAAACATTCTACAGCTCGAGCTTTGCAATACATCGCTATGAACCATATTGGGGCATGTATATAATATGGCAGGTGTTCTACAGCGGCATATGCGTGGCTCTGGCATCGTCAAAGACGCTAAAAGCAGCCGTCATCATCAGAGGTAAGTCCAACGACACGACGGGTAGGTCAAATGGAAACCGTTTCAATAGCAACGCTTACTTATTACAGATGGTTGAAGATATAAGCGGGGTTCATGAAGGAGGAGTGGTTGTTTACGAAGAGAGTGGGGAAGTCATTGATTGTAATGAAGGTGGCGAAGCCGCTGTCGTCGAATGGGCTGAAGAGGAAGTGGCTGAACAAGAAGTGTCGACGAATTTTTCACCGTTCGACGGGAAGATCGTTTACCATGCAGCACCCGCCGCCGAAGCTAGTCCCAAAGTCGTCCGGGCCAAAAGTAAGAACATGTCTGTTACCTCTATTGCGTTAAAAGGTTTTCGGAAACAGTCCCTGTTGTTGCTTTTGAAGTATTGCTTATTTTTTAGAACTATTATATCATCAAGGCTATTGCCAGATATATTTAGCAATCCTTGTTCTAAGCTAAATTCCATTATTTTTTGCGGTAGGTTCGGGTGGACGGTCTGGTCGCAACCTCCGGCTGACGATTAATCAAATTCATGACGAGCAAATGCAAGCAGTGAGTGCTTTAGTGGACTCTGAAACTGCACAAAATACCAAGATGCACAATGGGAGAGTGATTCCAGGCTGGGAGCGTCAGATGGCGCTTAGCTGCCTCAAAGCGCTCAGCGAAAGGACCGAACCGGATTTCGTGTTGCAGTGCAAGATTTGCAACAACAACAAGACATTTACCGCAGCTGCAACCCTGATCTCGCATTATCGGAGTCACGCCGGCATTAAGCCATTCACGTGCAGCACGTGTAATGCCACATTCACCCGACAACATTCGCTTAAGTATCACATGCTGATCCACAACAACGCCTCTCGGTTCACGTGTCAGGAATGCAATCGACAGTTCCGGCATCCATCTCACTTCAAAGAGCACCTCCGCAGACACACGGGTGAAACACCTTTCGAATGCGTGGACTGCGAGCAACGTTTTAAAACTCGCAATACATACAAGAGGCACCTGAAAACGCGTCATAACAAGCTCCTAAGTAAGGAGGGTATTGCGGAATTGGCGTTGGAGTATGCAGACGGCGAGGAAGTTAGCGAGATGGTCGTGATTGAGGAAGGTTACGAAGAAGAAATAGCTTAGGGGTATGAGAAGTTGTACCTACTACGTGTGGTTTTCGAATGAGTGTACGCATATAGACAGTTTGATGGACTAGGTAGTACGATACATGGTGCATTATATTATGGGCAGACGCTTTGGATTGATTATCGAAGCAGAACTTGGCAAGTGTCAATTACTTGTTGCAACGGTAGAAGAATGGGGCTAATTGAACTCATTGATCAACAGATTTTTTGTCTATGATAATTACAATAATTAGCAAAAAAGCCCTACGGGAATGTCTGTAATGAAATAAGCTTGCGGGTGAAAATAGTATGTTGAAAGAGACATTGGGGCTCCTTCATAAAATGTAGTTGGGTAAATGGCTTTATTATTATTATTGTAGGTAGCTGTAGCAATAACAATATTATTACCACTGCTTTTTTCTGAAATGCTGAAAGACAACCCGTAAAAGAAAGTAAAGTGGCTGATTAATCAATGGAATTGTGTGAGTTGGTTAGATCAGGTGATAAATGTGCATAGGGGAGCTGGGGTTTTCTGTGCAGAGGAAGCTGTATACACGCCGTTCCGTAATGTTAACTGGCTAGCCGCCACTATATTGTAAATAAACATTTTGCTCATTAAACATTCTAGAAATGGCATCTACGTGTGTTTATTGAGAGTAGAAATTGCTTTGATAGAGCACACGAAGTATGAGATGGGTGGAAAGACGAGATTATCGATACATGGCGTACCTAAAAGTTATGCCACTACGTGCTCATGGTACTTTTGTATGGATGAACAAAGAAGCCAACGTAACGAGACCTTCGAATACTTAAAGCGAAATGAGATACACCATTATTGTGGTGTTTGCACGATTTTTAAAATGCGTAAGATTCGTACAGCTTAATATACAATGAAGTAGCTTATTTCAAGGCCGATAGATATTGTCTCACTGATTTCGAATAGTTACGTACGAGAATTCGCACGTAAAAAGCGTATCATCATAAAAGCCCGGGCGTCCGCTTAACTCAGTTGCCATTTATTCAATGGGATATCTTGAAATCTACTAGACTCCCTAGAGTTGAAGCTCGACAATGAAGTATGGGTCCAAAAATAAATAGTTTGTTTGTTTGAAATAGCTGTGACCTGAGGAATGTTTTTATACGAATCAAAGCGACCACATCAAGAGGCAATATATTTAAGTAAAAAACCTGCTATTCTAAACAATTCCACCTATTAAACAGACATAACCGTTATCAAATACTCACCACACTTCTCGTCCTTTGAATCTTAAGAGTAATATACCTGTTTTATTACCTTCCCAATCTTTACTCGTAAGAATTGTTTCCGCGAGCATAAAAAGAAAAATGCTTACAATACCAAGGCCACCGTATGTCATTAATGCATTGCAGGTGGTACTATGAACCGTATCGAGTCCGTTCAGCATGAATTAGACTCCCAGCCTACGATTTACATTTTCGATTATTATATCTTTTGTCTGGAATATCCCATTCAACATTTTAAGGACATCCACCGTTTCAATCGTACCGGATAACGCTTGCAGTCATATCCCTGTCATACTGTCAGAATAACATACGCTACAGCAACGCTCCAAATCTAACTGTCAGGGGGTAGAACCCTACTTGTTCCGCAGGAGTCTGCTTCTGAATATCGTCATAAAGAACCAGTAATCTTCGTTGATATTGCTATTGGTGAGATACAAGCAGAAGCACCTATGGAAGAAATTGAAGTTTTTTTTTGTCCGCAGAGCCATTAATTCTTTAACGATGATTCTTTACAGGTGAGCCTTGATGGTCTAATGCTAATATCCTGTCAAAAAAAGAATGCCAAGATATTACCGGAACCACCTATTGAGCGTACCTGCTTCAAATTTAAGGTCCCTCACTAATTCCTATTTAAGTATTCCCCGTCCCGAACATACCAATTTTAATATATCTCATTATGCTGGTTTTTGATTCTCAGTTTTAAGACGATTCTCACTATTTCGCATCGTCAAACCGAATATATAGTCCTTTCCTTTGGAATTATACAGGACAACATACGTTACAGGACGATATTTCAAATACTTTGTACTATTGACTCACTGGCTTTAATGGAAGCACTATTTTAAAGCAAATGTGTAACTTCATTTTTTATGAAGCAAGTTCGTGTTACTGAAATGCCTTAACTCATTTGTGTACCACCGATACAACTAGGACATACTGTTACTGTCCAAAAAACCGCCATTTGTTTTCCTAGGCAGTGTCCCTTTTCTATTCTTTGTCAATATATTGTGTATCAGCTGTTGGGTCCTGTTCATAATATGCTGTTAGTGTCTCGATTTACTGGTCTACGCGCATAACTACTATCGTGGCCAGGTGTCATCGGCGCAAGATTTATCCGAGAAAACAAAAGCTCTATTTCTATCTTTGTCATATCATATTGGCGATCATCGTTGTTGCAAGCGTGACACTTGTTATTATTTATTACACGAGCTATTCGTCGCAAAAGATACAGCGGGGATCGGTCTGAAGGTGAGAAATGATGGTTACTATGGGTATATTTTTTAATTGATCTAAGGAGTGTGTATTTTCAGAAGCTTATAAAGGGGGTAATATATATGGAGTAGTTGGTATTCGGGATTTGTGGGATACTGTTTGCTATAGACCTGAGAAGGCTGGCACAAAGGGTACAGCTCTTCAATTTCTATAATATGATTAGTCAATTCTGGTTCGAAGAAAGAATATTCGCCGGAGTTTAGTAAGGAGCTTGTGCTGACACCAACAATGTTTAACCGAAATCGATCTAGCGATACTCCATATCGTTGGGTCAGTTTCAGTATCAAATGTGGAGCTCGAATTTTCCGATAATTGCAACTTAATGCAACCATCATATTTATTATAATATCAAATACGTCTTTCGACTGTTACGTTCAGTATTGCCTTATTTAAAGATTTCTTTGGACGGCTGGCTCCAATCAGCACGAAACGAACCGTGTATCTATCTACACCCGACTCCAAAACCGGGACCACTCTTGCGTCCTTCCAGTTAGTAGGCAACCACGTTACTGGTGAATTGCCAAAATAGTAACACCGAAATCAGTGGTGCAGTACATCCGTGGCACTTTATCGCAGAGAGTTACTGGTTTACAACATGATCTCAGTCAGGGAAAGTTTGTGCGGATTGCCATAATATCTAAGCAATAATCCTGTGCATTTATTCCAACCGAGCGTTATGCCGCACAACGGCAATGTGGGTCTCGTGTGTAGTTCATTTCTATGATACAATTCGCTGTGCTACAGCAGTCAACTCGTAGCGCCAATTCTCACTTTAAGACCTAGAGTTATCGCGGTTAACTGCGGAAAATAGGACCGACCCTAGCCGGTCTTAGTCCACGGCACCGTTGCTTGGTCATATAATAGACACGAACCGTCAGACAGACAAGCGGACATAGCGGTTAAACAAATCAGGCTGGCCCTTTTTTCCTTGCCCCTTTTTCTTCTTGCTGCTGCTGCTGCAGCTGCCGCACCCTGTTCTTCAAAGTGACTAGTAAGTGATTCTGGGCTTATGTGGGTAAAAGCCGAGGTACAGTTTTCTGTTAATAGCATGATCAATTGTCTGCGCCATTTGTTCTATCGAGAACTAGGAACCATGGCCTATATTTGAGTTTTGTATTCAAATGAAAATCTTCGCATACGCAGCTATATGATGATTAAATCTAAGCGGCTTTTGATTCTAACTAATTCTTAGTGTTTCATAGAGTAGGCAAACAAGACGCGTTGTGACTCAAAGCCACAGTTCTTCAGAGAATACAGCTGGTGCTGGAACCGTCATTGACATCTATGATAAATATCTGCCTTAATATCGTTATTGTTGACATTAATGCATTGATGTCTGTGTATTTCCAGTAGTACTGGAGGAACGTATTCTTCTAGTGTATGTGCTTTGTCTTTGATCTTAGCACAAGGTTGATCCATAACAGCCTTATGCGTTCAATGATCCTGTACGAGCACAACATTTAACCTGAGTAGTTAGATGACTTCCTGTTATTCAAATGCTCAGAAGGCAAAGAACCACATATTTTGAAGATTATGAATGAACAGCCGAAGACAGCATATGTAAAATAGCGGCCAGTTGAGAGAAGGCGAAAGGCACTAACAGTTATTTATGCCCTGCTGCGATTGCAACTTACCTACCTTCATCAGCTACTTTGCTAACTGATCAACTAGTCGCCATCTAATAGTACCGTAAAACTGATATCTGAACACGCTCTCGTTTACCTATTCGTTTGTACGTCTGGCTGTTATTACTATAGTCGTTGTCATCGTCATGATACCGTTCATTTAGTAAACGTAAGGACGAGCGATGGTGAACCGACGACAATAACGACGGCGGCGGCGGCGGCGGCGGCAACGACCACAACAGCTCATTCTACCGACGGCAAGCGGGCTGCTGCTGCCGAGATTGACGCCCCCTTCGTCCGCCAACAACGATCGTGATTCACTGATTGACCAACACAGGTAAGCAACAGTCAGCAGACAAACAGGCTAAAACTTAGTTAGCAACGCAGTACAATGACGGTGGTATCATTGTAGATGCTGTCGTCATTGCTGCCGTTGCTGCTGGTTGCGGCGGAACGAACTGTACTTCGCTCCAAGATTTTTCTTCTCTATACCCGATTAGCCAGCTACAGTGGAAGCAATTGTGTGGTTCTTCGTTCGCTGTTTGGATCGCAATCGAGACTTCAGTCTTCATCGTGCCGCCGGCGCCGCTGCAGTGGCTGGCGGCAAGGGGCTGTTGTTGCTGATTTTATTGCAGCCGACTACACATAGCGACGCTCCTCGCAATGCAGTTATGGTTTAGTCAGTAGAAGCAGGAATCAAAACATTGTCGCTCCGGAACGCGAAGCGTCTCGTGTGTGCGATGTGTAAATAGCTGCTGTTTCAACAGGTATAGTTGCGGCCGTTTCAACTGAGTTATAACTGTGGTGCAGGTGCTCTGCTGCTATTAGCAATCGTGGGGTATCCGTTAAGCTATTTCTTTTTCGCCGTTATCATTGTTGCGGTTGTAATTGCGCTCTTAAATGACTCTAATCGTAGTATCAAAAGATACGTTCCTGCGTAGCCGACTGAATTTGTGATTTGGTGTGACTGGTGTCATTTTTTAATAAAGTTCAGGATTACTCTCATAAAATATCGGTCGGAACCGCCCGCCAGGATAGGCGCCCCTCAGCCCGAGCCAGGTATGTATAATCTCGAGCCTTAAGTATCACCAACATTACTCGTCTGAGCACCCCCTGGTGTCACTTGCCCACATACATCGGAGACTACAATTGTAGGCCCAAAAAGGAGCAATGGCTGCTATTATATATATATATATATATATATATATATATATATATATATATATATATTGGAGGCGAAACGAATGCTGTGTAGTTCGACTAATATATCGTTATTGACAACTCAGTAAAACACTTAACATAATAAACATGTCGAACCACTTATGATTTTGTGTTCTCCATTCGGTCTTCGTCCACTTGGAATGAAGCGCGCTCTGTGCTCGGATTCAAAACTGCGCGGGACGGTCCTTTCCCCTCTGGATAACGGCGCGCCTTCGTGAGTTCCTTCCGAAAGCGCACACTCCCGCATGCGTCTGTGTCTGGGCGCGCCATCAAGCCCCGCGAATTCCATCGAGCTCGTATCGAGAGCTGGCACTGAGTCCGGTCGTATTTGCTGCTATATTGTGTTCTGTTATGCACGCCTATCCACCGGAAAGGTCGGATGTGACTAGTTTCGGAATGTTTGAACAATAAATAATTTGCAATGCGCGAGTTTCAGCACAAAATGTAAACCAGTGTTAATTCCATAGGTGTGCTTTCACCGATTATGTGTAACTTTTTCGGTGAGAGAGGTACAAATAAGTCCTGTACTTTGCTCTGAGCAGTGGTTACACTGTCCCGCGATGCCCGTTTATGTGTCGCTCCTCTGTTGTCGATGGTCTTGATGGCCGGTGGGTCCGTGTCGAATGGTTAGTGATGTTTTGTCGCTTCACCTGGTTACTGGTTTTGTTTCACGTACGATCGAGTTGACTCTGGGGTTCTGTAGCCAAGTTGAGTCTTATTGCCCGCCATATATCCGACGGATTTATTGCGACACCGGCCGTTCTGCAGCATTGTCATGACCAGTAGCAGCATCAAGGAGAACTGAATTGTTGTTGTGAGCGGATGACGTCGTTTTTTAAGCTGGGTGGGTGGGTGTCTGTCTGAGTGTATATGTTTCCCTTTGCTCAGCGCCGACAGCGACAGCAGCGGCTGGAGCAGCACGAGAAGTACGATACTAGTGCCAACATCAACAGAAGCAGAACCGGCAATAATAGCAGCATCAACGAGCGCGGCGGCGGCGGCGGCGGCGGCAGGAGGTACAGACACCGTCAGAGAAGTGTGGTCCTGCTCGTGGACTGAGTACGTCTGTCCGCCCGTCTATGGTTGGTTAGGCTCGTTATGCGTGTCGCCATGTTTGCGTCATTGGAAAGAAAAACGGAGTATTTGCTGCTGCCGACCGACGTCGTCTCCACTACAGCCGCTGCCACCTCTACAGCTACAGTCGATCCCCGCGGCCCGTTTGTTTGTTGAAGCGCGACCTGCCTGTCGGTCTGTCCGTCCGGCCAGGCGACCGCCCGCTAGTCTGTCCCTGTACTGCTGCTGCTACCAGCAATCGCAGTGGCGATGAGTTGCTGAGGCGATGTTTGTGGCCGCTGGCTGCTGGTGACTGGCGAAAGAACCAACGAACGCCGAGCGGCTGGCGTTTGTGCTGCAGCAGTGAGTCAGTTAGCTAGCCATCCAGCCAGTAATGCTGCCAATCATCGTGATAGTGCGTGGCTGACGATAGCAATAACAGTCGCAGTAGCGGCAGCAGCCAGTTCTAGCGATCGGGGGGGGGGGTCGCTGCTGCTGCTGCTGTACTAGTAGAAACAAGTCAGTGACAACAACAGTCAGAGCGGCGGCAGCAGCAGCAGGCTGGCAGTGTGGGAGTGTTCGTGTTTCCTGACATTGCCGCTGTTGCTGCTGGCGATCAGCAGTGCCTTTGTTACGTGTGGCTAAGCGAACGGCAAACCAACGGTTAATCGATCCGGTTCACCGCTGCATGCTCCACTGCGGCTGGCCAGTGTCTATGGCCAGAACTCGCAGCGACACGACGACCCAGCACGTACCATACCTGCAACTGACGAGGGCACAAAGAAAAGTCTCAGAAGTGCGTTCCATACCCGTCGTTCTATTATTACGCTCTCTTCGGGCACGCAACACTCAAATAAGACGGCCGTGTGCGGTGACCACTTTGAGGGTACCTGGCTGAAGTAGAACCTCTCGGTCTGCACCCTTTGTTCGTGTCTTCGTCGTTTTCGCGGCGGCAGCAGCAGCAGCACGACGACAACTGTTTTGTCCATTCATATACAAATAATAACAGCCGTAATCTCTCTTTGTCGTTGCTGCCGCCTTCGCCGCCGCCGCCGCCGCCGCCGACGCGGACGCCTCTAAGTATCCTCAAGCTGTGTCAGGGTCACCATTTCTTTATCTGAAGCATAGATACAAGGCACAATACGCTCGCAGCGCATCTATACGGTTAATATTAAATTTTGCAGGTGTTGCTGCAGAAATAGCTGTGGGTTTCGTCGGCCACCGTTATTGTGATTATTGTCGTCAACGACGACGACAACAACAACAACAACAACAACAACAGCAACAGCAACAACAACAACATTCACTTTCGTCCCAGTGTGAGTGCAGCGGATAGTACTCCTTCGTTTTATTATCATCTACTATCTACCTGTTACAGCATTACTATCGTGATCATCTTCACGATTACTCATGTGCTGCTACTGCCGCAACTGTTCAGTGGCTTTTATGGGAGGCGCTTCATTGTGTCTTCAAACCATCGTTGAAGTCAACGGTGTATTCGAGCAGCTGCTACTGCTGCTGCTCGTATAAGCCTGTTCAGAAGAAAGAGAAACTTAGGAATTACAGTACAACTACGGGTGTCCTGCCGGCCGGTCTTTCCGCCTCGCTGAGGAATAAGTGGGGGCGGCAGTTGCTGCAACAGCCGCAGCAAAAACGACGACGACAACGACAACACCAGCAGAGGTTGCAGGCTTCATCGTATGTCAACTGTCGCATTTCGTCTGTTCCTCCCCATTTCGAGTAACAGCCAGAAGGAAATTAAGAAGAAGTGACGACTAAAAGAAACGCAGAATTTGGTGGTCATTGTTGTGTTCCGTGATAACTTCCGCATCGTGTCCTCGAGCTATTACCGAACGAGCGTTATTGGTGGCTCGCCTCCTGAGCTTAAGGCAAACGAAGTTAACGACATTCCAAAACAAAATAACAGAAATAACAACAACAACAACAACAAAATAACAACGTCAACACAGACACCGAATTTGACAGCGTCGAATCGGCTATCAAAGAGGAACAGGACGGGGGTAGCACGAGGGCGGCGGCAACGGCGGCATGACAGCGACAGCCGCCAACGGGGAACCTATCCAACATCAACACCATTACGATTATCGCCGGCTTCTACATCCTCTATTACTTTCCCGGCTGGTTGGAGTTGTTGTCGCTGGTGCTGCCGTTGCTGCCCTCAGCGGTGGCAGTAGAATGAATCAAGTTCGAATGGTCACAGGTGCAAATAATAAAAGTGTCGAGGAGTGAAAAAAAGTTCCTCAAAGTGAATAGTAGAGTGAAAAATACGAAGTAGTGTGGAGTATCGCTGTGGGTTTGAGTTCGTGAGTCATTTAGGTGGGACTCAGGAACGACCGTCATCGCCATCGGCGGCACTGGAACATCAAGGTGTTGATGATTAATGCGCTGTTCATCCGTTCCTGTCCGTGCGACCGCCATCTGCCCCAGCTGCTACTACCCCGTTTCTTCGGTTGTTGTTGTTGTTGTTGTTGTTGTCGTCGTCGTCGTCGTCGTCGTCGTCGTCGTCGTCGTCGTCGTCGCCGCCGCCGCCGTTGATATCGCCGCTTCCATCTCGTCTTCCTCCTCCCGCTCTTCCATTATCGTTACCACTGAAGCACTAGACAAGATAATCGAAATTAGACCAAACGACGAAGACGAAGACGACGTCTTCGTCACCTTGTCGAATCTAGTTGTCGTCGCCGTTACCAAGGCGGGGGCCGCCGCCCTCGCCAAACGAGCATGCAATGGAGGGCGTAACAAGCGACGAACTTGTCATAGGAGGAGTAGGAGGAGGAGGCGGGGGTCCGGGACCGCTCATGTTGGCGACGACAGGAAATTCAGACAGTCCGCTGCTCGTCGGCCCGTTGCCGATGCCACTGCCATCCAATCTGGTCGGTGGATCCGGGGGCGCAAGCGGCGGCGGTGTTGTTTCTGGTAGTGGCGACCACCCCATCAGCAATGAGAACACGGCCAATTTCGAACGAGGCGTCGGTCGTAGTCGCAGCGCATTCCAGCTACGCACAGGTGATTGAATCAATGAGCGACTCCATTACTCTAATAATAAATATAATGACCATCCTACGGGTGCGCAGTCATAATACAGTAACTTAGTTTGAGTTTAATAGGAACAAAAATTTTATGTAGCTATTCCTTAAGGTAATTATATAAAGAACACTGAAACTAACAATAGGTGTTACCTTGCTTACACAAAATGAGGAAGGCTTGAATGTCGTAATAATAAGACACAACAACGCCCTTCAGCAGCTGAAGTAAATGCATCCAACTATCGTTAGTCTAGTGTGTGTTTTTACAAAAATATTATATCTACATGTGCAAGAAACTTGAATGATCTTTGTCGTAGGATAACGATGAAAGCTTTGCTCTGAATCCACTAGCTGGAAAGTTTAGTTTGTCAAAGTTATCAGAAATGAACAAAAACCTTATATTAGCGAACCTGAAGTAACCAGTTGAGCACATCTCCTATTTCGGCGTAAATCAAAGGAACAGCAGTTCGAGGTTCTTGGATTTTTTCAAAAAAAACTGATGCTCTATATACATATACAGTTTATCTGATCTATTCAATTTAATTGGGCTGTGTCTCCGAGATTTTTTGCCGCCTGGGTACATCAACATATAGCCATCAGTTAGGGCTTGTAATAACATATAGGAAATTGAATTTTAGCTCCATTCTTTCCTGTGCTGCCCGTAGCACCCGCCGACGCCGCGTCCAGCGTCCGAGGCGGCCATGCATTCAGCAGCTCATTCGATTTGATTATGCTGGTAATCGTACATTTATATTTCAAAACTGTGCCTTATATCATGGGATTATCTCGAGTGTACATGCAAATGGAAGGGGTCTAATAATAAGTGTGTAATAGAGCCGGAATGTGACGTGCTCGCTCTCTCACGTGGATGACGACGTCGTGAACCGCTCTTCGTTACTGCTGGTACTTCTGCTGCTGCTTACCAGCTCTTCTATTACGTTTTGGCACGGTTACTTTTGCTGCTGTTATGATAAGCACATATCGCAGTCGCTGCTAAATAGGGATCATCTATTGGCTCACCCATATCTAGGGTTCATGAAGTAACCGTTGCGGCTAGGAGCTGCCGCTCGTTGTCGCAGACACAACACGCGTAGTTCAGAATTGGAGTTATAGTGGAGGAGACCGATCAGTTTTCATTGAATGGTTGAACGATCAGGCCAAGCTTACTGTGCCTTTGTTAACCCTTACGGTGACATTCGTCGGTTTCCTAACATTTCATCATCTTGGCGTAGAAGAATCGCAATTGTGTATTAGAACTTGTCAATACGAGTAATTAACAGGTTATGTCATATACCAATATTGGATATCTGTATATTTCTAGTGCTCAATGGGATTAGTTTTATTTTTTTTTATCGTGATTTTACTGCTTAGTTAGCATACGCTATTTGAAACATGATTAAAGTAAGAGCTTTTTTAAGGTTCACTCTGCTAGACCTATCACTAGATTCCTGTCTGAAAATTCCCATTTGCAGACTCTTTGACAACCAGACTATTGCATAAAACTCATGTACACCAATATTGATATACATAAAAATAACAAAACAAAAAAATAACAACCCGTCTGGCTTGTAATGAAGATTGAAACATTATACCAGCGGTTGTCTCGTCTCACCACCTCCGAGCCTAATATATAATGCATATGTCGGAATAGATGCGTGTGTATTTGGCCACTGAGTCGTCGCGTGCCAGTCCCTCACCAACTGGCCTTAGTTGATTCGCGTTCTGGAACACATCGACGACAAGGCGCACCAACTGGAGAATGCAAACTGGAAACAGCGGTAATGCTTGTCCTAGTTGAAGTGCAATCAATTGTTTGCGGCGAAGCTTACCAGAGCGGACGACAACGCCGATTTAAGCAAACGTATAGCAAACCCGTCAGACTGAAACATCTCGCAGGGGCTTTAAACCGATGGGTTACGAACGCTGCTGCAGTATACTGGGCTAAGATGAGTACATAGAACCGTCAGATAAACGCCCAAAACTTAGCCAGTAGAGATTTCCGTTTCACACGGACAGGCAGGCAGACAGATAGACAGACACTTGAGCAGACAGACCAGGCCGATAGCTGTGCTGGCGCGAACTCGCCGACGAATAGTAGGCAGGAAAGGTCCATAAGTAAACATTCTCATCACCAGCGACTGTGGGTTGTTCTTTTACGTTAGTGAGCGAGTGTCGTCGTAGGAAGCGACAAGAAGTCGAAAGGATCTCCCTACTTTGTCATAAGTAGCAAAAAGCTTCTTTAATTGATCGAAGTCAATACTTTCGCAAACAGTTACTCACAAAACCACTCTTATTTATGTATTTTTTTGCGGTTTTTATGTTTTAATGTTCCCTATATGAACTTCAAAACTATTCGGAGGACGAACATGGCTAACAGTTAATGTCGGTTTTTTTTAGCGTTGTAGTTAATACTACTTATGCGGTTTTTGTCTACCAACGAAATGCGATACATCGCTTACATGTTGAATCTCTATGATATACTGAATAAACAGGACGATTAGGACTCGAATTGTTCTATTTATCGCGCAAGTGGTTCGAAAAAAAACGACGACAATTTGTACTAACTTTTTAACTAAATTTAGGAAAAAAGTACCTAAAATAACGATTCGAAGCACTGGTTAATAATAACAATAATAATAACGTATGCTCCTACATTTCTCTCTGTCGATGTTTTTTTTATATATTCAGGTTGTTTAGTATGTTTCCCTAATACTTTGAATTGAAAAATATTTTCCTTTTTTCCGTTATTTACATGCCAAATAGCCGTGTTAAAACTTTTTTCTAAAGTCTAATGAACACTACTATAAAGAATTAAACATTTTATGATTTGAAAATTCTGAAAATTTAATCTTGAAGCCATTATCGCATTATCTAACATGTAAACAATAGCAAACAAGTGTATTCCTACAAAAAAATTACACTTGAAATTTATTAAAAGAGGTAAATATTTGTACATGCTCTGCAGTTACTGCGCTATTTAATGCAGTCGTAGATAAGTCTATGACAGACACACTTCGAGATAATAATAATACAGTAGATAACAGTAGCCAAACTTTGGCTAAAAAACCCCAATTGAATTTAAAAGTATTTACTTAAAAAAAATGCGCAAGAAGTTCTCACTTACCTTGAAGAGATTGAGATTCAAACTCCTTTTCATGAAAAAAGTTTGCATTAAGATTTAGAAAACTGTAACTGCTAGAGCGAACTGGTAGCTTCAAGAAGAAAG